AGTAATATGCAATCAACAGAAAATGTTATAAGTGTGTTAGCATCTATGGAAGTCATTCGCCTGGATGCATCGGCTATATACAGTCTACTGGCAGCGCTGAATCGCCCTCAGATATCTGGAGCTATAGAAGAAGCGCAGCAACAAGTCAAGATAATCCAAGGCCATGTAAGTGAGACGTTTGGCACGCAAAGAGAGATGAAGGCCGAAAACGCTTCACTTCCTACATCGACTCCCAACTCGGCCTATAATATTCACTTGGCTTTGGCTGGACTACGGATTTTGGCCAGGACGCATCTCAAGACCGTGGAAGAACCCATGGCCCAGATCTTATTTGCGTTAGACAAAGTCACTCTGCAGGCCTCAAATCAACAAGATTCAAATTCGTCACCTCTCAAATACCCTGATTTATATGTCAACTTGCGCCAAATTAGTCTTGACATATCTCGTGGAAAAGAAAATGCGCTACGGTCCTGCGGCAATCTGACAACCGGTATCAATATCTCTGCAAGCTCTCAGCGCGGTGACGATGGAAGGGAAGACTGGTCTTTACACTTCCGCAACGATGATTTAACTCTCAACCTTTCCCCAGAAACTGTTTCGACCATTGTTGATGTTGTTGGCTACATGGGATCCAAGATTAGAGATCTGGACACGTCCCGTGAACTGGAATATCTTCGCAAGTTAAGGCAATCCAGACCGAAGATCAGGATCAACGACGATGAACAAGATTTGGGAGAAGAAACAGATATTTTCGAGTCTGTTCTATCTTCCATTACATACCGATTTGAGCTGCGAAATATTCGCTTCTGCTGGGACGTGGCAGATGGGACTATTGATCTCGACTATACCAAGGAGGATCTAGTCCTGTCGATCAAGTTGATTGAGTTTGGTACCCGGACTCGAAAGTCTGCAAGACTGACAATTGAGGATTTCCTGCTGCAGACCGTACCCCCTGGTCAGGACAAGACCATCAGATCTCTACATTCTGCTCTTTTGCCCGAAGTCATGTTCAACGTGGCGTATGTATCAACCGCGGATGCCCGCCGTATGGCATTTCAGGCCGTTGGCGACTCACTTGATCTTCGATTGACCTCAGCGTTCATTGTGCCCGCTGCAAACCTCATACAATCCATTTCATTGTCCATGAAAAACGCACAAGCGGCGTCCTCACAGTGGACAATTGAAGGCCCAGCAGCTGTCGAATCCCTCACGTCTAAAAAGACGGAAGACTTGACACCTCCACGACAAAGTCAACGTCGCATGTTCGGAAACAAAAGACTGGAAAATTTGCTTGTTGACGCAGACTTTGCAGGTGCTGTTGTCTACGTATCAACCAAAAGGAATGCTGCCAGTGCCGTGTCGGAATCAAAGTATAGTCAGCCATCCCTCGCAGGAAAATACGGCCAGTTTAGTGCGGACGATTCAGGCTCAGGGGCTGTATTACGCAGTCCGGGCTTGGCGTGGAAGGCGGAGTATCGCGATAATGGTAACGAGGATCCGTCTCTTTACGGAGAGATCAAAATCAACGCGTCAAGCAATATCCTGTATCCCTCGGTGGTTCCATTGGTTCTCGACATTTTGTCTTCCGTGAAGAAAGTTGTCAGCGACAATGATGCTAATGCCGATACGGAGCAGAAACCAGAACAGTTGGAACGACCGAAGCTAAAGCAGACCAAATCTGGAGATGAGGATAACTTTCTAACCGCCGATCCAAGTACGGTACTTGGACGCTTGAGGCTTAATCTAGGCCTCCGAATCTGCCGACAAGAGTTTTCACTAAGCTGTCAGCCCATAGCTAGGGTGTCCGCTACAGCTTGTTTTGACAGTATGTACTTTACACTCATAACTGTTACTTCCCAGGAACAAGGCAACTTCTTCGCCATATCAGGCGTGATAGCCAAGCCCCAAGCATCAGTGCAACATGTCTATTCTCGGGATTCTACGGCCAGCTTCGAGCTTGATTCAGTCGCCATATCTTTCATGAATAGCAAGCATTTCAGCGGCACAAGTGGTGTATCAGCCATTCTTAATGTCAGCCCAATGAAAGTCTCGGTTAATGCAAAGCAAGTACAAGATTTTCTGCTGTTTCGCGAAATCTGGTATCCAGAAGAGCTACGACAAAAGTCGGCGGTGCAGGTCCCCAAGATGCCAACAGAAACTTCTCAAGCCCACTTGGTACAACGCTATCAAGAGGTTGCCGCAACAGCTGCGTTCCCCTGGACAGCAACGATATCCATCGCAGCGCTTGACGTCTGCGTAGACCTGGGGCAGTCGATTGGCAAGTCAGTATTTCAGATCAATGAGTTCTGGGTGTCGTCCAAGAAAACCTCCGACTGGGAGCAGAACCTTTGCCTGGGCTTCAAGAAGGTTGGGGTAGATTGTACTGGTCGTCTGAGTGGCTTCGTGGCCCTGCAAGACTTTAGACTGCGATCATCGATCCAGTGGCCACAGCGAGAGGAAGCGCTCAACGAGACGCCACTTGTGCAAGCATCACTGGCATTTAATGCGTTGCGCGTCAAGGCAGCATTTGACTACCAGGCATTTTTGGTAGCAGACATTACATCTCTCGAGTTCCTGATGTACAATGTCCGAGATGGCCGTGACGGAAATGGGGACCGACTAGTTGCGATCTTTGATGGCGAAGCTGTGCAGGTGTTTGGAACTACAACATCAATAGCACAGGCTGTTGCGCTCTATCAGGCGTTGCAGAAACTCATTGAAGAGAGGAGAGAGAACTTCGAGTCGTCACTGCGCGAGATTGAAAAGTTTATGAAGCGCAAATCTATCAGCTCACGCACGATGTTGCAGACTCCTCCAGCAGTGCCAAAGCTCCCAGTAGATGATACGCTGTCCAAATCACCAATCTCCCTTGATACTGATGTGGTGGTGACTCTGAAGGCGTTGAACCTGGGGGTTTTCCCTAGTACCTTTTCAGATCATCAAGTATTCAAGATGGAGGCTCTCAACGCGTATGCCCGATTTGCAGCTAGTATCGAACAGCGCAAAATCCACAGCATTCTACGAATGACTCTTGGTCAACTACGGATTGGTCTGGCTGGGGTTCGAGACGCCGAGGCGCCAAAGATGCTCAACGAGATGACAGTGGAAGATGTAGTTCAAAGAGCTACAGGCTCCCGCGGCGGCACCATTCTCAAGGTCCCCCGCGTCGAAGCCGTGATGGAGACTTGGCAGAAACCAAGCAGCAACCACATCGACTACATATTCAAAAGCGCCTTCGAGGGCAAAGTAGAGGTGGGTTGGAATTACTCTCGCATCAGCTACATCCGCGGGATGTGGGCCAACCACTCCAAATCGCTGGAACAAACATGGGGGCGACAGCTACCGATGACGGCAGTCAAAATCACTGGCGTGCCCGAAACCGAGGGTGAGCAGCAAAAGATTACAGCCGAAGTCAATGTCCCCCAGTCCAAGTACGATTACCTGGCGCTCGAACCACCAGTGATTGAGACGCCGCAGCTGCGCGATATGGGTGAAGCGACGCCACCGCTGGAGTGGATCGGGTTGCATCGCGATAGGCTTCCCAATTTGACTCATCAGATTGTGATTGTGTCGCTGTTGGAGTTGGCGGGCGAAGTCGAAGATGCGTACTCGAGGATCCTGGGATCTACCTAGGTATCGGTGTGAGTCACGCCTGTGTATAGTCCTAACACTAGCAGATGGATGTGGCGTTGCAGAGTTGAGGCGAGACGAAGAGAGAAATGTAAATGTAAATTACGGCTAGATATATATGTACAGTATGACTCATTGGAAGTTTTGAAATGAGATGTGGCTGTGTCCATGAATATTTGTACTCTGGTGCTAGTTGAAAGTTGTATTTTGACACTCAAGTTGGCGATGGAGAACTGGAGGCTGCTTGGAGTTGAGCAGAGCTGACAGGAGCTTGAGCTAGCTTGAGTGTTGCTGTGTAAGCAGCTCTACACCACACCAGCCACACACAGTTAGGTGTGGCGAATGGGGAGCTTGTTTCAGCTTCTCGCCACAGCTCCAGTCTCGCGATGCAGACAGCTCAGTGACAGCGAGCAAAAGGATCGAGGAATGTATGTACTAGTAGTCGGTGAACAGCAAATTGAAGAGTCAGCCGGTGGTTATGAGAAGCAACAGAGGACATCAAGTAGTCACAATGTCAGATGTACGAATGACTCCGTGTCCGAAGATTGCTTCATGACACGCCTCAAACTGACGGAATACATTTTAGGAGCCCTCGGCGTGACAATGGTGGGCGGAGGGCTGTTGCCCTCTTCAGCCTCTCAAACTTGCATGAGCAGGTGGCGGATAACGAGAAGCATCAAGCTTGGAGGGTTGGCGGGGTCGATTTGCCCCGCCAACCCGCCTGAGGTGCTCGCGCTCTAAAGTCTGGTCCATCAATGGTGGGGCTGCAGGAGGGGCCTTTCAGATATGCTCTGAGCACACATGGACAGAGGACTGGCAAACAGCACAGGGCTGGGCAAGGCGGGCAGGGCCACGAGCAGCATTGAACTGACGCAGCTCACACTAGCCAGCAGCTCAGAAAAGAATGATGGGCACCCATGGTAGGGCCATTGAGCGCTAACAGTGACCGAGAACATCGAGCACACAGACGGCTCTGTTGACAAGGTGCCGTTGACCAGCTAGCAGGATGGCGGCCCACCCGCAGGTTTTTTTCGCACCACATTTTCCGTATTCCCTCGCCGTCTGCACTCCTCTCCCTTTCCTTTCCAACCTCCAAACCCGCCCAAGGGACCATTTTTTGAAAAAAGATTGACAGTCCGCCTGTCTCTCTTTTTTTCCATTTCGCCACCTTTATACCCTTTGGTTCCGTGGTTGAGTCATCTTTAGGGTGGCCAACTAGGCTTTGCTTCCTAAGCAAACCAAATACAAAAAAAAAATACAAAACCTGAGCGCGGGGTGAAAATCTTCAACCCCGCTTTGCTCAGCAACGAGTTTTCTCCTCCTACAAACAACAATCACATAGCGAGGTCGCCCTCAACAACACCGCCAAAATGGTCAAGTAAGTGCAATTTTGCGTGATGGATGCCTTTCTTGACATGGTGCTGGAGGACTTCTTTTTGGGCATGCATCTTGGGAGGCGGCATTGTTACCAGGGATCGTGGAATGGCTGGCAGATCTTTTTGTGTCTTGCCCTTGGTCCGTTTTTGGCGGGCGCTGCTTGTGTGCTTTGGCGGTTGACCCCGCCCGGAGTTAAGCTACTGAGCAGTCTTTGGGCGACGCCCAGTGAGAATATCCAAGACGGCCGGGTCACGATGGGAAAAAGAGAGCAAAGCTTCCAACGAACAAAATAACTTGTATATTGCTGCAGACAATGGCTAACATTTTTCACCACAATTTAGCTTCACCATCGACGAGATTCGGGCCCTTATGGACAAGCCCACCAATGTCCGTAACATGTCCGTCATTGCCCACGTCGATCACGGCAAGTCTACCCTGACCGACTCTCTTCTTGCCAAAGCCGGTATCATTTCCACCGCAAAGGCGGGTGATGCACGAGCAACCGATACTCGTGCCGACGAGCAGGAGCGTGGTATCACCATCAAGTCCACCGCCATCTCCCTGTATGGTCATCTTGACGACCCCGAGGACATCAAAGACATTGTTGGCCAGAAGACCGACGGCCAGGACTTCTTGATCAACTTGATTGACTCGCCCGGTCACGTTGATTTCTCATCCGAAGTCACTGCTGCCCTCCGTGTCACCGACGGTGCCCTCGTTGTCGTCGACACCGTCGAAGGTGTGTGCGTCCAGACCGAGACTGTGCTCCGTCAGGCTCTTGGTGAGCGTATCAAACCCGTTGTCATCATCAACAAGGTCGATCGCGCTCTTCTCGAGCTTCAGGTCTCCAAGGAGGATCTGTACCAGTCCTTCTCCCGTACTATCGAGTCCGTCAACGTCATCATTTCCACCTACCTCGACAAGACCCTCGGTGACGTCCAGGTCTATCCCGACAAGGGTACCATTGCCTTCGGTTCTGGTCTGCACGGCTGGGCCTTTACCGTCCGTCAGTTCGCCATCCGATATGCCAAGAAGTTTGGTGTCGACAAGAACAAGATGATGGAGCGTCTCTGGGTAAGCGAAACTTCCTCTGATCAAACCTCAAAACAAGTCCACTAACGCAGCACAACCCTTTAGGGCGACAACTACTTCAACCCTCACACCAAGAAGTGGACCAAGAACGGCACATACGAAGGCAAGCAACTTGAGCGTGCTTTCAACCAGTTCATCCTGGACCCCATCTTCAAGATCTTCAATGCCGTCATGAACTTCAAGAACGATGAGATCACCACGCTTCTTGAGAAGCTCAACCTCAAGTTGGACGCTGATGACCGCCAGAAGGAGGGCAAGCAGCTGCTCAAGGTCGTCATGCGAACTTTCCTGCCCGCTGCCGACTCCCTGCTGGAAATGATGATTCTCCACCTTCCTTCTCCCGTCACTGCCCAGAAGTACCGTGCTGAGACTTTGTACGAGGGACCTCTTGACGATCCTGCCGCCATTGGTATCCGTGACTGCGACCCCAAGGGCCCTCTCATGTTGTACGTCTCCAAGATGGTTCCCACCTCCGATAAGGGTCGATTCTACGCCTTCGGCCGTGTCTTCTCCGGTACCGTCCGTTCCGGTCTCAAGGTCCGCATTCAGGGCCCCAACTATGTCCCCGGCAAGAAGGAGGACCTGTTCATCAAGGCCATTCAGCGTACCGTTCTCATGATGGGCGGCAAGGTCGAGGCCATTGACGACATGCCTGCTGGTAACATTGTCGGTCTCGTTGGTATCGATCAGTTCTTGCTCAAGTCTGGTACTCTTACCACTTCTGACACTGCCCACAACCTCAAGGTCATGAAGTTCTCCGTCTCCCCCGTCGTTCAGCGTTCCGTCCAGGTCAAGAACGCCCAGGATCTCCCCAAGCTGGTCGAAGGTCTCAAGCGTCTGTCCAAGTCCGACCCTTGCGTCCTGACCATGACCTCCGAGTCTGGTGAGCACATTGTCGCCGGTGCTGGTGAGCTGCATCTTGAGATTTGCTTGAAGGATCTCGAGGAGGACCACGCCGGTGTTCCTCTCAACATCTCGGACCCCGTCGTCCAGTACCGTGAGACCGTCCAGGGCAAGTCCAGCATGACGGCTCTGTCCAAGTCCCCCAACAAGCACAACCGTCTGTACATGGTTGCTGAGCCCATTGATGAGGAGCTTTCTCTGGCCATTGAGGGCGGCAAGGTCTCTGCCCGTGATGATTTCAAGGCTCGTGCCCGTGTCCTGGCCGATGACTTCGGTTGGGATGTCACTGATGCCCGTAAGATCTGGACTTTCGGTCCTGATGGTACCGGTGCCAACTTGCTGGTTGACCAGACCAAGGCTGTTCAGTACCTGAACGAAATCAAGGACTCCGTCGTCTCTGGTTTCCAGTGGGCCAGTCGTGAGGGTCCTGTTGCTGAGGAGCCCATGCGCTCTATCCGCTTCAACATCCTCGATGTCACCCTGCACGCTGATGCCATTCACCGTGGTGGTGGTCAGATCATTCCCACTGCCCGTCGTGTCCTGTACGCCTCTGCCTTGCTGGCCGAGCCCGCCCTGCTCGAGCCCGTCTACCTGGTCGAAATTCAGGTTCCCGAGCAGGCCATGGGTGGTGTCTATGGTGTCCTTACCCGCCGTCGTGGTCACGTCTTCAACGAGGAGCAGCGCCCCGGTACTCCCCTCTTCAACATCAAGGCCTATCTGCCCGTCTTGGAGTCTTTCGGCTTCAACGGTGACCTGCGTGCCGCCACCTCTGGCCAGGCCTTCCCTCAGTCCGTCTTTGATCACTGGCAGGTCCTGCCCGGTGGCTCTCCCCTTGACTCCACCTCCAAGGTCGGCCAGATTGTCACAGAAATGCGTAAGCGCAAGGGTATCAAGGTCGAGGTTCCCGGCGTTGAGAACGTAAGTTTATTTCATAGCCCGCAAATCGACTGACGAGAAGTATGCTAACGTGTTATGCTCACTTCTAGTACTATGACAAGCTGTAAACGGCTTCCTTATGTGCTGATAGAATCAGGTGTCGTGCCTACACTGGCACATCTCGTCAACCAGCTACTCGTACAGGTATGGAGTGCTTTCCTCGCGGAGCCCCAACCGTGGCAGCTATGAAAGGCATTGACCGGGGGTTGGTCGGTTCGCCGACCAGGAAGTTAAAAAGATAAACACAACAACCGAATGCCAGGTTGAGCCTATAATCAAGGGAAGCTGTTTTGAGCTTTTCATATATGTAGTTATGTCGTCTCGGATCAATTAAATGTTCAGAATGAAATATGTGCATGCAGTGTGATAAACTGGGTCCGTAACTGCAATTGCGTTCCAAGCGTTAAACTGTACTGGCGTTTGGAGCTGTGTCACGGGATGATTACCAACAGTACATCCACGAAAAAGAATTGATTGCTTCACAAGTGAGTGTTTAGCAGACTCGATAGGTGCCTAAGTACCCGGTAGTTAGAGAGGCGTTAAATGCAACGTTGTTACAGCGACTTCTCATACGATTGTATATCGGTCTTCAGTCTCCACAACTTTGGGTACTCCGTAGTCCGCGCGTTCAGCCAATAAGGATCCACAAAGTCTAAAGCTTCCAGAACAAGGTCACTGCTCTCCATCAATCTTTCTACACAGCCTGCCTGGCAAACGTTTTTGCCTTGACATTTCTTAACCCCCTGGATGAGCTATATGCGCCCGAGAACGAGCTCACTGCGAGCCCTTTTTCACGCACATATTGTCGACAATGCTATTCCCCGAGGAGGACGCGCAACTGCTCAAGGCGTGGATTGTGAAGCGCATAGAAAACACGTGCGTCATATCTGGCGATACCCTGCGAGGAGCATGACAAGACATGAGAAACGGAAAGGCATTACTAACTCCCAATAGATCAGATGCCGACTCGGACGTACTTGCGGAATACGTGATTGCGCTGCTGAAGCATGATGGGGATAAGGAGAGTGTGAGGAAGCTGTGTGAGCAGGAGATTCCGGACTTTCTCACAGAGGGTGAGTCTTCCTGTGCAATGCATGGAGTCCGATACAGCTTCTAGTGCTACGGCTATCAAATTTTCTTACGGTTACTGACGCTTTAGTCACGGACAGATCCTAAGGCTTTCCTAGACGACGTCTTCCAAGCCATCGCGTACAGGTCTTACCTCCCCGGTGCACATCCCCCGCCGAAATCTGCAGATCCTCTTTCCTCATTACAAAACAAAAGCCCGGAATCTTCACGTAAGCGACGCTTAGAAGAATCCGGCCCCTCAGACGATCCTGAACAGAATGGCCCTCAAGGTGGACGCGCATTCAAACAGCTTCGAAAGGGACGGCGCGGCCGCGAGGATAGAGCTGATAGAAATTCAAACGGCTATGGCATGATGATGATGCCACCCTTCGATCCGAATAATCCCATGGAGGCGATGATGCAGATGCAAGCCATGGGGTTGCCGTGGCCAGCAATGCCAGGACAGCAAGGCTGGGGATTTGGCGGTGGTGCTGTAGGAAGAGGGGGCCAGAGGAAGAGGGGGAGGGGGAGGTGTAGAGATTTCGACACTAAGGGTTTCTGCGCGAGGGGAAGCACATGTGTTTATGATCATGGCAATGGCGGCGGCGATGGGGGAGATGGTAAGGTCCCTGTTCATTATTGTGCGGTGGTTTAGTCTGTGCCTGTTTATGGTTGTGATTGTCCTGCTTCCGTCTAAGCACAGCCTCGGTTACTCGCCAAGTGGCAAGTCAGCCAAGTCCTGCAGATATGAGACATTCACGATATTGACGGCGCTACTAAGTCTGAGCTCGACAGATTGCTGACAATTGGGCAGAATACGATCCCAGTAACGCCATGATCAAGCCACTGAATCCCGAGACGCCATCTCGTGGCCGCAAAGGGAAGCGAGGAGGGCGCAAAGGCGGCTCACGAGCGCCATTTTCCGCTGAAGGTGCTGTAAATGATCGCTCAAAGAGCACCATCGTCGTCGAGAATATCCCCGAAGAGCATTTTAGCGAGGGCAAGGTCAAGGAATTTTTTGCACAGTTTGGAAACATTGTCGAAGTATCAATGCAGCCCTACAAGCATCTAGCGATTGTAAAGTACGACAAGTGGGCGGCAGCCAATGACGCATACCGCTCTCCAAAAGTTATATTCGACAACCGATTCGTCAAAGTTTTCTGGTACAAGGATGAGAAGGACAAGTTGCCGGCGTCAGTTTCAAATAACCCCAGCTTCATTCCCGGCTCTGGACTAGACGAAATGGACGCCGAGCCGGAACTTGACATGGAAGAGTTCCAACGGAAACAGGAGGAGGCGCAGAAGCAGCACCAGGAACGGGAAGACAAGCGCAGCGAACTGGAAAAGAAACGGCTGGAACTGGAAAAGCAGCAGCAAGATCTATTGGCCAAACACCAAGCTGAGTCAGAACGGTTATGGGCCAAGCTGGCGGGGAAGAATGGCGGCTCCGAGACAACTGGTTCCTCGGGGACTGATATGCTCAGGGCCAAACTCGCTGCACTGGAACAAGAAGCCAAGATACTTGGCATTGATCCCAACGCCGAAGTAGACTCGAGTGAATATCCATCTCGGGGTGGATACAGAGGTCGGGGTTATCGTGGGAGAGGATTTGCGCCCAGGGGAAGGGGTGCCATGCGAGGAACAGCAGGGAGGCATGCTGCTTATGCTCAGTTTTCCATCGACAACCGCCCGAAGAAGCTGGCAATAACGGGGGTCGATTTCACACCATCGGAAAAGGATGAGCAACTCCGCCACTTCTTGCTGGTAAGTTCCCAAGCTCAACAAAACTAGGAGGGAAAAAAAAGAAGAAACTAGGAAATCTAACATGTACAGAACATGGGTGAATTCGAATCCGTCGACACGAACCCCTCCGTCACACACGTGTCCTTCCGAGACCGCAAAACCGCCGAAAGGTTCTACTACTCACTTCATGGGAACGAACTGCCCGGTGTGGAAGGCAAGCTTGAGCTGTCGTGGGTGAATTCGCCGCTTCCCCCGGTGAACTTGAAGAAGTCGGCGCACGAGGAGAGCGGGACCGTCACGCCGGGGGATGCAATGGCCGGCATGGATGATGCCAGGGAGGAAGGGGAGGTGCGCGAGAAGGAGAGGGATGCCAATGCTACACCCGTGAATATGGATTATGAGGTGGGCGACTATGGATGGGAGTAGTTGTACATGGTGATGAGTATGCATAACTATTTCAGGGTGGCCACTGAGCATCTCATACGTGTAGTTGACTGTCTTGGCCGTCCACGCCGTCTGGATACTTGCCAGATGCGCTGATTTACATGCGCAGTGAAGTAAAATTCGGGCTGTGAATACCGCGGGTGGGTGTCTCGTTATGGGTAGGTGTAGGGTAGGTTACTGGGTCGAACAATGTAGACTCTGCAGCTAGTTTGCTAGATGGCACAAACCGATTTAGAAACTATCCATCAAAGATGTACCCGGATCTAGGTTCGTGACGAATACCAACGCCAGGCGTCACATGTCTTATCTCGAAGCCCTGCCTATACCTCCGAGCACGTCCATGATTGACTTTAGGCAGGCGGCGATCCGTACATGGCCAGCTGACAATAGAGGCGGTTACCATGATGAGATACAGTTCGCTGTCAAGTACATACTCGTGTAGACTCTAGCCTCAAAGTTGCCCTCGTCAACTAAACAAGGGCTTCGATATCAAGACTTTTTGGTCATAGTCAGCATGGCACACAGCAACGGGACTACAATTTTCACGCCAAGAAACAAGTAGTAGCTGCCGTGGCATGCCTCCAAGGCTTCATTTATATTGAAGCTTCTATTCATGGCGCCGTCTGTATTTATTTTATTCCATTTTTAACTCAAATCTCCTCCATATTTGCTCGCTTCCACCTGCACCTGCACCTGCATCACCACTGCCATTGTCTTCGCTCTGTCTAAACACATCTGGCTGTGCATAGGCGGGGTATCGTTGAGATATTATATGCAATTTGCTGCAAGAAATTCAAAATCAATGGGGGGTGAGGAGCCAAAACCGGGCTTACATCTCAAACCCCCTTGCTGCATGATCGTGGCGCGTATACTCTTGGGTCGTTGTACCTTCTTCACTCCTTTCTCTCTCCCCTTGAACCTCACCTTTCAACCAAGTCATTGTTCATTGCGTCTGTGTAGCTTTTTGTTGAAAAAGTCACGCCTTGCCCCCGCCTGTTTGCCGTATTTTTGTGCTTAAACGCCGTCATTCATGCATGCGCTCCCTGGATAAGAAAAAACAATCAAGAAACTAGATCAAAAAATGCACCAAAAAATCAAATGTCAAAAGAAAAGAGGTAGGGACATGAGTTAATGCTTGCCCCATATTGACCGCAATCGCTGTCAATGCAAAAGCCTTCTGGTGGAACAGATCGGCCAATTGAGAGATAGGAGGGGGAGATGATGGTGTGTGCGATTCTATCCTGCTCGCCTTATACGGCCACAGGAGTGTCGAGTCCATTGACTTCAAGTCCCTCAAAGAGATCAAAGATAGTTTGATTCTCGTGGAAGTCATTGTTGACTAGTAAACGTTAGTCAGCCGCTATATGACACGACAAACACAATTTCATTCACACTTACCAACATTGACCAAATACCACTCGTTCATGATTTGATCAAGGAGAACTCGGCTAGGCGTCTCGGACTCAAAGCAGTGGGCCCAATCCGTGCCCAGTCTAAATGCCTCATCTCTCCACGCGAGGAAGCTGATGCTCTCCACAATAGTGGGCTGGACAATTTCCTTGCCGGGGAAGACACCCCAGGTTACAGCGTTGGGTCCATCTGATGGAGCGTTCGTCTTGAGTTCACCATCCTTGGTAACAGCGTAGTAGGTCAGGGTTGGTTTGTCCTCGACACGCTTTACCATCTCGGTGAAGATGGAGGCAGGGACAAGAAGCTCAAGGTATGCCTTTTGGTAAACGTAGCCGTTAGAAGGACCCCAGCCGTGGATGGGGTGCGATGACTTGACGCCGTCAACCGCAGGCTGCGAGTTGAT